TACACATATATATATATATATATATATATATATGTATATATATATACATATACATATATACATTATATATGTATATAAATTTATAAATCAATACATATATGTAGATATATATACAAGTTTACATATACAAATATATATACATATATCGAATACTACATCCTCTTTGATTCATCAAGCTTATATAAGCGATGCTGACGTACTTCATGCTCTCACTGGTGCGTACTAGCGGTTGTCGGATTCTGAAGCGATACCAGGCGGAGATCAAGTGTGGCTCTCTGATCTGGTGCGCCTCATGTGGCCAGAAATCGGTAAGTGTCTGTGTTTGAACCATGCAGCCTTAACTTATAGTTAAGTGTCTGTGTCAGACCATGTAGTCTTAAGTTATAGATAAGTGTCTGTGTCGAACCATGTAGTCTTAAGGTAAAGGTATGAGTCTATGTTCACATACAGACACACCTAGTCTTCAGGGTTTAAAAATTATGCGTATGTCTATGTACATGCGTGTAATGGGTATTTTGTTTTTTGTTTTTGTTTTGTCAACGTTTATTGCAGTAGAAGGTGGGCCATAATCTGCAGTCAGATTTACGATCCATAGTTACATATTAAATATGTTATAAAACTATATTGTTCTGCGTGGGGAATTAAATTCCATATCGAGAGTTATAGACTGTGAAGAACCCGTCCAAACGATCGGTTGAGAAGTTGTCCTTTGATAAATCAGGTCAATTTCGTTCCTGATCTCATTTAGGATTGGTGCAACAGTAAGCCACGTGGCTACAAAACGGGAGCGAAGTTGGGGAAGTATCAGACCTAATACAAATAAAGAACCATTCGTGGGCTGTGAAGGTGTACCAAGATGTGTGTGTGTGTGGTGGGGGGGGGGGGGGGTTTGGCGCACGAGATGAGATGATAGGCAGTGACATGCAAATGCATATCGATTCGTGTGACACGGTGTTTTATCCTGCATATATAGATGTATTATTCTGCATATATGGAAGTGCATGCGTGTGGTGTTTGTTAGCGGGCCTATGAGAACCAATCCATGTCTGTTTACTCTGGCGCAAGTAGGCGAATCATGCATGTGTTTGAGGTGTAGGATATACTACATACCACCAGCCCATACGGCACTTGTGTGCACAATCTGGGATTGCATCTGTTCAGATAACTGGCACATGGTTATGTGATAGTGTTCGATATTGGCATTGGCATCAGGCTACACCCTCTACTACGTTATATGCAGTGCACAAGTGTTTAATGTAAAGTTCAAGGCAGGTTGCATACAATGTGTTTCTCATCATCTCCGGCATTTTTTGTTGGACAGCCTCATATTATTTCTCTCTCGTATTGCTGTGTATATCTGTATCGGAGATACGTACATGTATGCCTCTAATTCATTCTCTCATACGAAAAGTGTGATTGCCAGTTAGACAATAAGACCTAGGAATATCCATACGAGAAGTGTTCTGTACCAGAGTCGTAGTACGTCCGCAGCCGTAGATTTTGGTACAAACGCGTATATGTATTGAGCTCGTTGGCATTTAAAAGTTTTAACGTATAAGCACATGAAGTAATCTGTTTAAAAATTCACATATGTACTTATTTATTATTTTTTGAACCTTTTAAGCCTTTTGAAATCTCACGATCTTACAAATTTGGCAGACGTTATGGCGAGTGGGATGATCAGGAATACAGTCGAGGAGGCGATAAAAACCAATTTGCCATTCCCTTTCAAAGGTCTTCATTTCACGAAAACCTCGTTTGGGACTAAGCCGCTCAAGTTTTATGATATTTCTGTAAGTATTTTCAATCAACTCACTAGAAATGTACATATCAAGTAGGGTTCCTTATATATATGTGTACATAAATATAATACTTCACGCGAGTGTTCTATAGATATACACAGATGAAGTGCATAAGTAGAAAGTGAATGTTTCCAAGGTACTATGTGTTACCAGACAGCATTGTCGGAGTCTGTGCATGCGTGCGTGCTATTACTCATGGGTGGTCTTACTGATCGGTATAACGAAGTGTT